ATTTAAAATGCTGCTGTGCATCAGGAGCTCTAGGATTGTTAGGTAAGAAGGCTGCCCCAAGCCTCAAGGTGTGGGGTGAAACCTTCTGTGTATCTGGGGTGAAGCTAGAATATGCCCACCTGCCTGCCTCTCTCTCTCCCTCCCTGCCACCCTTCCTCCTTCCCTCTTTCATTCCTGTTACCCGCTGGCCCCCAAGATCTCATGTAGCATGGACTGGCTTCAGTCTCAGTATTTGACCAAAAAATGACCTTGACCTTTTGATTCTCCTGCCTCCACCCCTCCAGATCTGGGTTGACTGGTGCATGTCATCATGCTCAGTTTATGTGGTGTTGGGACGGAACTCTGTGTATGTGGTGAGCACTCAGCCACAGAGAAAACCCTGCATGTACAATTCTAACAGTTTCCTGCAGTTCCCAAGGCTGCTGGCCCTAGCAGCCCTGTCTTAAAAAAGAGTTACAAAAAGAGGACAAACTCTAAAGAAAGCCATCAGAGGTACCGGCTGCCATTACCCACTAGTGTGCCTGTACAGCAGTCCATGGCTCTCTTATCTATGGCACTTTGTTCCCCTTCGTTAGGACTGAGCAGGACTTCTTGTTGTTCAGTTACCAGCGTGTTATAGACCCAGGTCCTGCCTGGGGTTAGTTGACAGCTCTCATACAGACTGATGGGGAAGCAAGTTTGCAGGATAGCCTTGAGAGGTGTAGTTTGTACAGAACACAAAGATGACCAGCAGAGGGCAGTAGTGGGATTGAGATGGCTTGGAGGAGGCCTTCATCAGCGTAGATGTCTGGATGGGCCTACCCCTGCCCGGAGCCCTCCTTCCCATAAGCCATGCATGTTCTGTGGTGGGAGAAACTGTGCTTTCCATAAATTTGAGGATTAGCCATGGGTAAACTTGCAGGCTCCTAAGTTGTGAGGGCAAAATGAGGACGAGGTATGGAGCCTCTTTTCATATATACCCCAAAGCTCCGCAGCAAGTCTGTGAAGAAGGACCGGCCTTTCTCAAAATGATTGACACTGGATTGGCAAGCTCTGCTAGTTTTTCCCTTGCCATTGAGAGAGAGAGAAAGAAAGAGAGAGGAGCAGTTTCTTCCTTCCCAGGACTGAGAAGCCCGGCATCACCTGCCACATGGCTCTGCATAACACTGGGACACGCCTTAGAGATCCTTGGCCTGAACACCAGCCCTGTTACCCGGAATCCTATGTCAGGCTTAGTTAAAGATTCCGAGTTTGTGGCATTTAACAGGCTCCCTCCCCCCTCCAGTAATTCTGATGCTCGCCTGATGCTTGCCAGTACTCAGAAGTCTGTGGCTGGCTTCTCCTCTCATAGGCATGTTTTTTTTTTTTTTTTGAGGTGGGGGGGGACGAGGGTGTCTCAACCAAAGGGAGATTCCGAGGCTGAAGTTCTGAGGTGGGGTCATGTGATCTAAATGAACTCTGGGCGATGTGGCCCAACAGCGTAGAGCTGCTTTTGGAGCACATGCTGCTTTCTTGAGCTCATGCTGCTGGAGTTCAGTCTTGTTTTAAGAGGTGCTTACGGCTGCCCTGATGCGCAGAACATGCAGACAGACCAGGTAAAGCAGTCCAGAGGCAACTGTGACAGGCCTTTAGAACATCAGAGGAAGTGGCAGAGCCGGCAGCAGCAAGGAAAGACCCCACTCTACTCCGTGTGGCCTCCAGCCTCATTTTAAACAGATTTGAGAGCAGCAGTTACTGGAAAGGAGTGCTACACACTGCACTCCAGAGCACCAGTGTGGCCTGCTCAAGAGAGTCACTGTGGAGAATCTTGGCAGTTGCTGTGCTTCCTGTGGCTTCTGGAGGCAAACCTCAAGGCTTGCTAAGGAATTCAAGTAAGAGCACAGGAGGAGTCCCAGGTGCTGGATGGGATCTGTGCTGTAGGAAAGACCCCATGCCATCATTTTGCAGGAAAGTCAGGGTCCTCTACTGTCAGCCAAGGTTTGCTTACATCTGTAAGGCCCCTGGAAGTGTCTGAGAAAAGAGGAAGGCTACCTTCAATGGCATGTAGGTTTGGGGCTGGGACATGGTTGATGGCTGTTTTAACACTCTTCTCCATAGAAAAGGACTGTGGGTTTTATGTTGGCAACCTTTGAGGCAAAGGCTCTTGTGGGGTTTCTGATTTTCAACTCACAGGAAACTTAGACTAGCCTCCGGGGCCAGGGGCTCATGACAAATGAAGAGATGAGGGTCCTCATTTTGGTTGTTCCTCCATAAGCTGGGGCATCTGGCCCCTATGACAAATTCTCAGAGGGAAGGGTGATGTCCTATGGCTGATCACAGGCCCTTCAGAGAGACCTCTGCTCCAGCTTAGAAGGCGGATCAGGCTTTGGCCTCCAGTGTCTCTCCCTCTTCAGGCTTTCTACTCTCTTGTTTACATTTCAGGTTTCGTTTCATCATTTAACCTGATAAGGTACATTTTGGTTGTCATGGCAAGCAGCAGCCTAACTTGTGAGCCTGGATGTTTTCTCAGATTTTAGACTCAGCAGCAGCCTACCAACGTATGACTTTCCTCCTCCGGGTCAGTTTCCCCGATGTCACAGAGATCCATCTTTCCTTCATTCCTTCCTTTCTTCTCTCCTTAGTGTGTTTGTGTGCACAAGAGGGTAAGCATATTCAGATCAACCATTAGCTTTGGACCTCAGGTGTCAAACAGATTCTTCTTTCACATAGGGCTGTCATTGACCTGGAACACACCTTTTTGTTTAGGATGGCTAAACAGGAATTCTCCTGTTGTTATGGTGTCGAAAACTGGGAGCTAACACCAAAGTGTTGCAAGGTATTTGTTTTTACAGCTGGGCCAAACTTCGAGTCTTATGGAGAATGGGAGAAGAAAGCAGCCTAGACTAAGAGCAGGAGGGCCTTTTTATAACACTCAAGCAAGTAATTACAAAGTGGAGTTTTGCAGCTATTTTTATAGTCATGGGGAAAATACGTGTTGTGGATTTATAATGAGAACATACCATGAAAGAGTTTGTGGTTGGTCAATTCTTAGAACATATCGTGAAACGACGAAAACAATTTATGATGTGTAAATCAAAAGCTTATAGAGGAAGAACAAGTTAAAAAAAAAACAACCAAGGTGACCTTCAGCTTAGGGCATGCTTGGAGAAAAACACCATTAAGAAATAATATAGAAATAAGTCAAATTCTACCATTATGTTTAACCAGGAACAGGACGAAAAGTGGAGTCAGCTGGCCCTTAACACAGCCTCTGACTCTACAACTCTGGGATTACAACAATGTCAAGATGTTAACTGTTTTCCGTGGCTCAAACTCAGGTTCTTACAGTGGTCACCAAACACTAGCAACTGAGCCATCCCCCAGCCCCACACAGCCCTTCCAGGTGAAGAGACTGGAGACTGGACGCCATTCTCACAGACATGATTCAAGTAGGGCTATATTGGTGGAGGCTACACCCAAATGTCTTTTTCAAAGTGCTCTACTATTTTCATATTTTTGTGGCCATGCTTCAAGTCCAGAATCAGGCTAAACTCAGAAACGAAGACATTGTCCTAACTATAAATGGTGAAAATATACTTTGAGTAAGATTTTTTGTTTAAAAAAAATGTGTTTTCTGTGATTAGCATGGCAGAGATTTACTTCGGAAATCAATTTCAAAAGACAATGTCATCTGAAATTAGAGGACCCCCGAAACCCACAAAAACAGAAAAGGGACTTTCAATATTATAGCTTCTAAACTCTATAAGCTAAGCCAAATTTAGAGAAGAAAATCTTAATTTTGTAGCTTTCTTATCACATCACCAAAAGACAAACAAAGTAAGGATGAAAAAAGGCTTGCCTTCAGCCACAGAGCGCAAATGTGATATGGCTCCCCGTCCTTGCTCAACATTTACAAAAAGACACTCTCCCTCTCTCTCTCCCAGTTCTGGGTCTTTGACAAAGTTATTTGTCAGCGTAAGAAAGCAAACATGACTAATTTTTGAAATGCACACGAAAAGCTGCTGAGCAGAAAGGTGGCGACCTGGGCATACCTACAGTGGTTTTGTCGGAGTCCTGTTCTGTTAGAGCTCATTAATTCACGCTGCATGGCTGGCGACTACAAAGCGCGTTCCTTGGGACCTCTAAGTGGCAGGTTGTCGAGTCATTTGGCTCACGTGATTAACACCATCAACGTGACAGGTCTAGGCTTACCTGCAGAGGGGATCTGGCGCGTGGGTGGAGAGACTATCTTGATGACTTAACTGATGTGTCAGGACCCATTTTGACTGTGTGCCAGACCCTTCCCCCGGACCATACAACTCCATCTGGGAAGCAGCAGCATGCTTCTACACCCTTCTGAGTCGGTTTACGGATGCGCTGTGGTCAAGTGCTTCAGGCTTTTGCTGCCCTGGCTCCCCTACCACGACCTATGAGCCAGAACAAAGCCATTTTCCTTAGGGTGATACTGTTTTTGGAACAGAAACTAAGACACTGTCGGGCAACAGAGTAAGGCTTAGTGTACGGTAAGCGCTGACCGACTACTGGGGTAGGCGCACAGCTTTAAACACCAGAGTCCAGTGTCCTTTCCACGAAATAATTCTTGATTCATTTAATTCTCAGAAAATTCTAGTCTCTTGCCACCTATTCCAGAAGCTTTCGGTAGAGGGCGGCTGAAGGCTCTTGGCGAAAAGCAGGCGCCATTGGAGCCCCGGTGGCCACCGCAGCGACCGTGCCTCTCCAAAGCCGGAGCTTGAGGAGGGCGGAGCCGGAGGCAGGGAGGCCCGAGCCGAGGAGCACCGCGTGGGAGGACCGCGCAGGGCCGGGCGAGGGCGCAGGCGGTGCACCGGACGTGCGGAACGCGGTGCTGCCGGTTGCAAGGCTGCGTAGAGCCCTGGCGGGGGCGCGAGGCAGCGAGGGGCAGAGCGGGGCGCAGGGCGGTGCACTGGGCATTGCACGGGGGTGCAGGGCTTGGGGCGGTGCGTAGGGGCGGTGCGGGGCGCAGGGCGGCTGACGGCGTCACCGGGCGGGAGCAGCGCGCGCTCCGCCTCGCCAGCCACTGCATCGCCGCGCTCAGCGGGTCCGGAGCAGCGCCTGGAGACGTGCCGCGCGCAGCCGGCTCTCCCCAGGTAAGCGACCACGGCCCTCGGCTGGAGCTGGGTGCCGCTCGCGCGTGCCCGGCGCTTTGGGCAGGTACCCCACTCAGGGAGCCGGGTTACTCTCTGAGTGTAACCATCAGTACGCATCCCAGAACTAGGAAAGGGGGACCAGCTAGCTTCCTCCTGCATCCTTCCAGGAGGGAGGATGAGCACGAAGCCTTAGCTCAGTTGGGAGAACGTTAGACTGAGCATCTAACATTGCTTGGAAAGAGCAAGACGAGGGATCCTGTCCTAACAGGAGTTGTGGTTGGGAAAATTCTTAGACTGCAGGTATTGTCATGAATGCGGAAGCCGATTCCATGGATTTAGAAAAAGTCTCGGAAAGAGGTGCAGTGAGAGAAAGAAACGTTCAGAGCCCGGGAGAGACCGCCGGGGGCTGGTCACGCTCTGACCGGCCTCTAGACTTAAAACTCTGGAAAGAGACCCGCCTTAACGTCTCCATTTTAAAGAGCAGGCTTGGGGTATCCGCGGGACTCCCCTTCTCCCGGGGCGGGGGGGGGGGGAAGCTGGGAGCCCCGAGCAGGCTCCACATCTCGTCCTAGGTGCAGGATCGTGGGTCTCCATCAGAGGACGATGACAGCCATCTGCCCGTGGGTTGGACATCTCTACCCGGTTTTGCGGTTTCAGCCCCAGTTCAGGTTCTTTGGGGTTGGGGCAGTCTTTGGAACTGGACGCCCCGCGCCTCGGTTGTCCCATGCCTTCAGAGGTGGATCACAGTGTAGCGGGGTGCAGGAATTTCTGCCCAGCTGGCCTTGCTTAGGGCTTTCTTTCACAGTCTGGTCCTTTTTACCTTTAAATTGGCCCCGTGCATGCTCATTTATCCCAGCAGAAGTTTTGTGGTTTGCTTTAAAAAAACAAACAAACAAACAAACAAACAAAAAAACATAAGATATGTGCTCTTTCCTACTGGCATTTGGATTCGAGGTGGTGGAGTGGGCGGGAGAGAAAAGAGGAGAATAAAATTAGAATAAATTTAACAGATTTGCATAGGAATCATACTATTTTTTTTTTATTGTTGTTGCCTGAAATTGCAAACTGTCCAGTTTTAGCTGTGTCAGCCTTTCCTAATGGAGATAGCCCCTGAGCTGGGGTACAAGAAGACACAGCACCCCGACAGTTCTCACCCCCGTTCACCAGAGAAACAGAAGATGGCATGGGAAAGAGGCACATTTGACTGAGGACATTACATTTAGTGCTGGTGGCTGTCCCCTGGAGCACACGGGCAGGAGGGGATGGGGCCAGGGCTAGCACTGATTCTGCAGTCAGGCACAGAATCCTTGCTCACTGCTCAGTTTTCCCACGTACAGCTACAGTGTACAGAGAAAGCTCTAGAAGTCATTCTCCTAAATGCTTTAGCCCGGGATACTGCTGAGGCTTCAGACACACAGACTGAAAGGCAAGCTGGGCCAGGGGGAGACTCCAGCCGCTGGTTAGCAACCAGCCTTGTCAACAGAAATATTTCAGCCTGAGAAGGGCAGATGGAGACCTTGCTGCCAGCTTCACATATATATTCCATTCTCTGCAGCACCCATGAGCCTATAGTTCACTAGAAATGGCTTATTCTAGCAACCAATGGCAGACGTCAGAGGGAACCACCAAAATCTCTGGAAAAATAATGGGGCTTGTTTTATGAAGAGAGAAATTGTACCTCTTGTACTCAAAAACATATTGTTTATTCTTAACATCCAAGGGAGGTTAAATCAGTTGATGGCCTTAGATTAAAAAGCATCATGTGTCCAAGATGAATGCAGCATGTTTCTACTGGACAGAGAGAGAGCTGTTGTCGCCGGTGTGTTGAAATCACTCAGCATTGACTTTTCAATACAGATAACCAGTATCCCGTTCTTCCTCTCACAGAGGCTCCAACCTGCCGATTGATCACCTGTGCTGCCAGGAGCACAGTGGCCATGGACAGATGTCTTTTCAGGGCTAAACTGATTTCTATGACATTAATTGATTCTGGTAATGATTTTTTCCAGGAAACAGCTGATCTATCAAAAATAAAGATGACGGTTTTCATGTTATCAAAATTACCGATATTCTGTGTGTGTGTGTGTGTGTGTGTGTGTGTGTCCATGTGGGTGCACGGCACACGTGTGCATGCCTGTTCATTAATTAATATGGCGACCAGGAATCACTGTCAAAGGTCTCTCTTCTTTGGTGGCACTCTTGCCTAATCTGGAGTTCACTGATTTCAGTAAGTTGCTGGCCAATGAGCTCCAGGGGCCCTCCCGACTCCCGACTCTGCGTGCTGAGCTTACAGACAGGATCTGCTGTGCCTGGCTTTTGTATGTGGGTGTCATGGGTATGAACTCAGGCTTTCCTTCTTTGGTGAGTGCTGTACGCACTGAGCCATCTCTTCAGCCCTGCTGCTCTTTTAAAAGTTAAGTTTCCTAATGCCTGGATGCATAATTAGGCAAGAGCATGACGTTATCCAACTTCTCTCAAATAATGGTTCAGTCTCTCATTACTTGGCAGGCAAGTGTATCTTCCTTGACCTGGTGAGAAGTGTTTGAAGCGATGGGTGCAGACGTTCTCTGTCTTTTCTTTGCTGTTGCTTCTGGCAAGTTCTGAGAAAGGTTTTCTTACATTCTTCTCCCTGGGGTAGCAAGTGCTGTCCTGTCAGTCAGTGCTGCCCAGGGATGGGAGTTCTGCGTGCACAGTTCAGACTGTGCTAGCAATCACGTCAGAAGAGAAAAGGAGCAGATGAGGTCAGTTTCAGTATTTGCAAATTTACACACTACAAACACCACTTAAGCGTATAAACACTAGTACTTTTTCCCTTTTTCTTCCCCTATGCTAAATCCTAGACCCACAAGACATTGCAATACTGACCAGGTGCTCTGTGTGGCCAGTGGCTATTCCACTCTAAAAGGGGCCCATGCAATGGCTTAGTGGTAAGATGCCTGCCACCGAGCCTGTCTAACCTGAGGTCAATCCTGAGCTATCCCTGGTGGAAGGAGAGAACCAATTCCTGCAGATTGTCTTCTGACCTCCCAACGTTCGCCTTCATACATTTCCCATCCACGCAAAACAAAGACATAAAATGTAATAGAAATATAAAATAATAATAAGAGTTAAAATGTCAGGGTCAGTTTAAGATCATTACAAATGAATAGACAAATGAGTCACACTGATATGAGACCTGCCTCTTCCTTCTTTGCAGAAAACAGAGCCTCTTTATTTCCCTTCCCATGTGCACATGTGTGTGTGTGTGTGTGTGTGTGTGTGTGTGTGTGTGTGTGGTACATGTGTATGTGGAGGCCAGAGGGCCATGCCAGGAGTTCTTGTTTGGGGGACAGCGTGTCTTGCTGAGCCTGGAGAACTGGCTGTCTAGACTAGCTGGCCACTAAGCCCCAAGGCCCCAGCTGTGCCCACTTCAGCATCAGGCTTACAAATGTGCACCGTGTTCTGGCGTTTTATGAGTGCTGGGCATCAGACTCGGGTCCCGTTGGCACAGCAGCACTGCGCTCACTAGGTTGTCTGCCCGGACCTCGTATCCTCGTATTTACTTCTCTGCCAGTAAATGAAGAGGACCAGCTCCAGTGATTGCTGTGGTTCTGTGAGAATTAGCTGTCTGTGTCCCGTCTTCCTGGAGACCAGAGGTCTGTTGTTGCAGGAGGCAGGGCCAGGCTTTAGTGCCTGTCCCACGGAGTCCTGGCCTGGATTTGCCTCAGTCAAATATCACATTTAAGTCCCTTTACTGGAAAAAGTGCCAGCAGAGCCACTGCTGAGCAGAGGGACATGGGGCAGGTGACTCGCTGTGTGGCTAGATGTGGAACCTCTGATGTTGAGGTACTCTGCCACCAGCATGAGTGTTATCACCATTTCAATCTGCTTGTTTTATGTCACTAAATAAGGTTTGTGTGAAATGTCACTCTCTGCACTTGACTCAGGCAACCTGCCTGGAATGAGAGGGTGGCTCTTCAGGTCACTTGGGGCTGGGGAGGTGCCTATGGCTGCCCTGGGGCTCTCTGGCTCAGAATTCATCATGGGCAACTTTGAAAGAGAGCAGCATTTTGTGTCAAAGAATTTTGGGCATTTTTTTCCAAGGCTAGTTAATACCTAGAGAAAAAAGGGGGGACCAGGAACTCTCTCCACTGGGGCTTTACACAGTGTACCCCCACACCTGTACACCCATACACACATCCACTCACACGCCCACACCCAAATACCCATACTCACCCCTACGACTCCACACCTCACAAACTCATATATCCATATTTCCACATACCATGACCCCCACATACACACATGTACATAACCTGCACACACCCACACTCTTGACTACTCACACATCCACACCTCACTACCCACCCACATATCCACACACCTACACATCTGCACACACTCATACATCCACATGTCCACTTACCCCAACACACACACACACACACAACCAGCCACACATCCAGACACCTACACATCCACATTTTCACACACAGGCACACCTACATATCAACCTCCCCCAACATGCACACATACCAGAAGTTCTACATACACGCACACTCATACATTCAACATATCCACACATCTGCATCCACATACCCACACACACACACACTTGAAAGGTACATACCACACTTCTTTCTTTAATGCCTCTAATCGAGTAAGGTTCAGACATGATTAAAGCTCTAAGAATCCTTTGGGAAGGGAGAAGCCTCCTGCCTGTTATTTTTAATTTCCAGGTTTTTGTATGTGTGTTGTTATAGGTTCAGGAATAGCCACTCACTGACCACTCAGACACAAGACTGAGCTCAACAGATGTTTAGTGAACACTAAACCGGAACTGACCTGTCAGGGCCACAATCTGGACTCGGGAGCCAGACTATGACTTTGATTTGCTCCTAAGACAGGTTTTTTTTTTTTTATACAAACAAACAAAGAAACAAAATAACCAGGTAACAACTAGGTAACAAAACTGTAACCAGGTGTAGGAAACAAACTGCAACTAAGTAACAACCAGGTAA